CTCGAGAACTCCTTGGATCTGAAGGCTGAAAAGTCAGTCTCCAAATGTTTCCAAATATACTCATTTACAAGTCATTATCAGTATTATAATTTTCGCTCAAAACATAATACTCTTAAAATGTTAAATGGCTTATTTAATTGAAAATGGTTGGGAAACACACCATCCTTTCGCTCTTTAGAATGTTTTCTGCGCCTAGCATATGAGAGAATCGTCGGAGTGGGTGTTTATCATCCCTATTGCGAATAACGTGACACATGTCTCTGGGATTAAAATGAAACGTAATGCAATCAATTTTTTTAATTTTCTTAGCCTTTGGCAAGTCTCCAAGGCCGAAACAGTCATGACGGACAAATTCCAAGAATCAGCAAGTTTGTTTTTGCAGGATTGCTGATTTAAGGAAACAAGAAACTCCAACTAATATTTCGCTGAGGACGGCTGTCAACCAGCCACAATTTAAAAACCATTAAGTGATATTTCGCTTAAGTCGACATAACGTGCTAAGCGCTCTTTGTCATATCGCTGTAGAGATATTTTGGGGATATAAATCAGCTATATATCGGACGAAAGTTACTTTTCCAGTGTACTGTAAATCACCTCAGTTGAGTGTCTCCCACCGTTAAGTGTGCTAAAGTAATTTTTTGCCCCGCTTTGGGTAATTTTCTTTGTGATTATAAGATCAATCTTAATTTGACCCCCTCGCTAAGACATTTTTTATATAACTGCGGCACAAAAGATGTTCACACTAACCATGAAGCGCACCTTTTCGTGTGGTCAATTGAAGTTATTTAAGTTAAGAAGCCTTTTCCACTGGTTTATACAAAATGATCGAGTTCTGATGTTGTCGGACACACCTTTCTGAAGAGCTTGAACCATTTTTAAGGCTGACATCGTTCTAGACAGATTTTAAATGAAAATTTTCAACAGTATTACGCAACTCTCAGATCCCAAGATGGCGGACATAACAAACGGACGGTGTGATTATCATATCGAGTAAAGTCATATCCAGTGAATGGCAAAAATCAGTGATCGATTCCGGCAGTTCTACGTTCAATAAAACTTGAATCTACATGTTGCTTAATTCCGTAAAAGTCGTCTTTTTGATATGCTATATATACGACAAAAGAGAAATACGGTACCTTGTTTATCGATTTCTCTCGCCTTGATGAAACCTGGAATAAGTGTCGACTTTTTTTCACAGGAAATGGAGCGTTATTTTTCATTCAAATCTAACCATCGGAACTCAGCAATCCAGAACAACGACCAGACTCTAACCTTTTTCCCACACTTTGTACTGCAAGCGTATATAGTGCACACTTTCTCTTCAGAGGGCAAGCAGAAAAGAGACATTCACGATCATAAATTTCTCAACATCCAGGCCTGCGGCATAAGCTTAACTTTTTGGATTTGGTCTCATTGTCAATCCCATACCAATCGGCAGGAAAGTCTTGCTTAAATATAAATTTACTCGTGAAAACACCGTTTCACACATGCGGTTTGGAAGTTGCTCACTCCGAGTAATGGGCTCCTGTCTGTCTGTAAAAGTTCCATTAAAGTAATTGATTAGAGAGGCATCCTGGGCTGGGATATTGGGCAAAAAGAGGGAGAGTAAGTGTAGTTGAGGACTATTTAGTAATCATAAAATCCGGTTCGCGGCAAGCGCTTGAAACAGAGAGATCTGAAAGACCTTTAAACCGTTTGGCGGTTAATTTAAGGGTTCGTCACACCCATTTAAGAATCTGGCGCGATTTAACCCTACCCAACCACAGCAGATTATTTTAAATCACTCCACGCGAATCTTCGACCCGAGAGCCACGGCAGACAAGTGAACTTGTGCATCCCGTATTGAATCTGTGTTTAATCAAAGAAAGTTTGGGGTATTTCGTCGCATTTGCAAACGGGGGCTCTCTGGTTGGAAATTGGAAAATTTGAACATTTTTGTCGAAAAAAATTTTTGAAGAATAAATCTCCTGCTATCTTCCTACATTTGAAATACGTGGTTTGTTTTTTACATAAATCCTCTTATGGAATCAAAAATACCAGTTGTTTGTTCCAATGTCCCCTCATCCCAGAATTCAATCCAAATTCTTGAATGTTGTCTTTGGAGGCCAGGATGCTAATGTTTTCATTACACAGCCCTGCGGTGTGTATTTCGTTCAAAGCGGAATGGATTTTGCTGCAGTGGCAAGTGAAACAGTCAAATTTACAGAAATGTATATCATGGAAGCGAAAAAGGCTTGAGATAATTAACAAAATAGAAGCTAAAAGGGCGAGCAGCGCCACCAGAGAACTTAACGTAAAAACACTACGTTGGTCGGTATAGGGCTAGGATGATGTTGGGGACGAAATGATTCCATCGCCAACAGTGTCGGCTTTTTAACGAAAACTGAAAACTTGAGTAGTTCATATCACTTCTTTGAATAGAAGTGTAGTGGATATCCTGGGAAAAGCTTAAAGATATCGCTTTGGAACACAATTTCTGCAGCTCCTGAGGAGACGTTATGTTCGATTAACATGTGCTTCAGGTAAACTCTTTTAAATTTTCGCACAATATTTTTAATAGGCAGCTAACCCAATGAGGTTTAAACGAGAAAATGATATGTCATTCTTTTAAATTTAACGTACAGGTGAATTTGAAGTATCGAAGAGAATCAAATCGTGCCAATCGATGCCTTTTGGACTTGTCATCTTAGCTGGGAATGGCAATGAACTCTACTGAAAGCTATTTGCAAAAACTGTGGCTTGTTCACTATGAATGTAGAGAGTTTGATTGAGGAGCTGTGTGTAAAATGGTTCCAGAGTCATGAATGTTTTTGAGGTATTACAAAGGCTCTTGCCCAAGTATTGAGATAAAAAATGTGCCAAATTGCTGCGGTGATGGAATTGAGTGTTTGTCATTTCGTCATGTACACAAGGATGAATTCTGATTAAAACTCAAAGGTTCTTTTAAATTCAGTGTAGAGCATTAAGGATGCCTGTTACACTTGACACCACTGTGAAAATCAACAAAATGCTGACCAAGAATGTCACTGAAAAACTGATTCTAGTGAGGGAGTCAAAAATATTTCTCATTCGACAAATTGTACAGGTACACAACAAAATTCTATTTTGTCAAAAACAAGAGGAGTTTTGACATGTTGAACTTTTCTTGAAATGCTTTTGTTACCAGGGTGACATCAAAAGTCAAAATCCAATTTTAGCCCATAATTGCCTCCTATAATCTTACATACTACACGTACAAGTCATGAACCAAACCAATTGGATCTATTTTGTGCTCAATTACTTGAGGTGGCAGAAGATACTTAAAAAATGTTTGATACTTTGTTGTTGTTGTCAATAATTAACAAAGAAACAGATGTGGCCAACCTCACTGATTGGTTGGTGTGTAGAGTGATCCTTACTTCTTGCTAAATTTCAGCTTTTTATGAATGGTTCTAATGATGATTACTGATGATGACTATTTTACTAATGACCTCCTCTTTTGATGGATTCCAACCACAGGGTCCCCTCAATATTGAGCTTATCATGTTTTGATGGCTCACAGTTAAATCTCATCAAGGCCTTCATTGACTGGTTTGCAAAATTCTAAGTCAAATAAGGACTTCCTGTGCATGTGAAATGCCAAAATGATTTTTACAGTTGACATCAGCTTTAACCCTTTAACTGCTAAGATCTCATTAGTAATTCTTCTTACTGTCTGCCATATAGTTCCTCTGATGTTAATTTTGAGAATTTGGTATTGGATCAACTAATAATCCCCTAATTAATATTTTCCTTTATTTTCATCACTTGTCTGCTTAATATTGTATTGATATTGTAAGGAGAAATTCTGTCTTGGTCACACATGGGAGTTAAAGGTTTATTATGAAACTGTTCTCTCAGTTGGAATTCAACATGCATGGCATCACTTAAAACAAGTGTGGAATACAAATTTATATCAGGCACCTCTTGATATGTACATACTTGTATCACCAAGGTCTGAACTCCAATCGGTTTGAACAAATCAGTTAAATATTGACTGTGGGTCTTTTAAGTTGTGCATCAGTAATTTAAGTTGTTAAAACCATCTATATTAATAGTATCTTTAAAATCCATTGACTTGATTAGAAAGTGACAGGGAGGTGTTGCCTGTAATTTTTGGTGGCTTCAATTGTGAACAAACAGGTTTAACCATTTTGTCAACTAATTTTCTGATCTTTAAATATAGGTTGGTTCAACTCTCCTAACAAATGTCTGTATGATATTATCACTACCACTGCTGGCAGCACATAATTATGTGACATTGTACTGGGTACACTTCATGGTTGGATCATGGCTGTAATTTATGGTACAGGTGTCTAAAGGTTTGTAATTGACACACCTATGCTATGTCACACTGTGTATATTTAGAAAGACAACATTTATTTGTTAATCCTTAGCCTTGCAACCAGGAGCAAGATGAGCCAGGCTTACATATTCTGAGAGTGTCTTTATAGTTTGACATCATCTTCTCAAGTCCCTGAGTGGCTTTTAAGAACACTTGTGTAGAAGGAATTAGAAGAAGGAGTACTGCACTCAATGAGTAGTGTGGTTCATCCTCCCAAGGTTTTTTCTATAAACATGTTTGGCTTCCGAGGCTAAACTATTTTAGGTGTTAAAGTACATGTACCTTTTTCATGGGAGCTGTGCGAAATGTTTTGAAATGTATTAAATTTTGCTGGTGATTGCTCCTATAAACAGACATTTAATTATTTAATGCCAATACCTTAATTATCATTGATGTCACTTTCTTTAAGTAGAAGGAGAAGAGTAAAATGCTTTGGATCATACCATGATGACTTGTGTATTTTGTCAATAACAACAACAACTAACTTTATCACCAAATTGAGAAGTTAAACTTAATTTGCACACATAATATATTAATACAAAAAAAGGTAACATTTACTCAGAATAACTGAAAAGCTAATCCAGCTGAGTAAAAGTAAATAATGTTTAAATATAGGACGTAGGTTGGCACTAAAGCTCGAGCAAAGCAAATTATTGGTCAAAAAAAAAGAGGACAAAAAATAAATTTTAAAAAATCAGATAAAGAAAAAAGAAAAAGAAGAAGAAGAGACCAGTTGAAAACTCATGAACAGTAAGACTGTAAGATGTTTAATTTGACTTTGTTTTTAAATGTTTTAAGGGGGAGGTGTTTAATGCTTTCGTCAAGGTGATTCCAAACTTTTACAGCTGCGAAGCGAATGTTGAATTTACCATAGTTCAATTCCATTAATTTGTTGACTAAAGCAAGAAAGCTGGCTTGGGACAAAATGTTACCATTCAAGGGTAAACAATATACTGTACATATTGTGTCAAAAGAGGTGAGCAGTCTGGATCAGTGTAGGAAGTTGAGTGATAAAGCTGCTACATGAAATACATGTACCTATATCAGTCTCTTGGTCAGCTGGCAGTTCATATACTTTCTCCCATGTGAGCAATACAGATCGCTGTCTTAGTAAAGAAGAGAGAATACACCTTTTTTTCTAATCATAGTAACAACCAAGGGGAAAATTTGTGAATTTCATTTAGGATGTTGTGCATGCATTCTTCCAATCTTATTGCCTGGTAAGAAAATGTTGGGTTTTTTTCCCAACTAGAAAATTAATTGTTGTTAACATCATCAAAATGACAGCAACCTATCTTTTAAACCATTCAATTTCAAAGTTTTCATTGACTTGTGTTGCTGAGAGCTACTTGTAACTTTAGCCAAGGTAAATGAACTAGCTTATTTCATGACTGAATATTAGACTCATGTTCAATTTTGTTGAATTGTGTGTATAGCTGAGTGCTTAGGATGTGTCTTGCCTCTAAGCCAGCCAAACCACACCACTTATTGTTACATTATTTTTGCAGTTTTTTTGCCTGAATTTTCCTTCCAGCAACAGGAGAAATTACTAGTAACTCTAAAGTAAATCCAATCATACATGATTCAGAGGACAATTTTGATATTACATAATAATATTACTAAAAGACAGAAAGCTTTTTGTTTTGTGAAAATGACTGCATTCCATTCATTTTTTTTTCTGACAGTGAATGTTCTTTATTCCTGTCCTGAAGTCATTTTATAAAATGGAGTACAGTTTACAGCTTGTGATTTAATGATAAGCTGTCCAAGACTGGGGTAAAAAATTAATGTTGCTCACAAGTGATATTCAACTTTCATTCATACCACCTTAATGGCTTCTTTGTAATTCCACTTGAAATAAGAAGGTGGCAAATGCAATTAATTGTTGAAATACGAAACACAGTGGCTGTCTTTAGTCAATGGAAATGATGGTGGAGGCTTGTAGTTTGTATCTTGATATTGGTCTTAATAAAAAATAATGGTGTAAAAGACATTTTCTTCTTGGGCAAATGAAAATAAAAACTTATTCAAATTTTGCACCAATCTGTGGGTTGTTGTTTTTTATTTCAGTTGAATATCCTAAAGCATTTTCTTCTCTTTGTTAAAAGATCAGTAACATTTTGAGTCTATTAGTTTGAGAAATAGTACTGTGTTTTAATTTGCCATTATCATTTTGTATGCTGTATGTAAAAATTGTGTTCAACAGGAAATTACAATTAAACCAATATATGTTTCTCTTGATCATCCAATAGGGTTTTTTTCTTAATGAATGATATGATACTGATGTTATTAACAGTACATGCTGATATTGTCCAACAGGTAGCTACTACATGTAAGTTCAATGAGTGATTTTGACTAAAAATAATAAAATGCAGTATACCCTCATATATCTCTGTTCACTTCCTATTTAGCACTAGTCTCAAATCATCAACTTGCATACCTCAAAAGCTACTGGTGCATGTATGCATACCTTTACCTTTCCAAACACAATAAGGATTTGAATTAAGAAACATAATTCCAGTCTCTTTATGTATCTGGTGTTATTTGACAATCCTTTAAAAATCATTGTGACCCTTTACTTCTAGGAACTGAAGCATCCTCATGAACATCATCGTGTATACAACAAGAGTTTAACTGATGTGTGGCTGAAACTGTTATATCATTGCATTATTTTCTTAGTATTTTTTGTTGTATGGAAAATGAATGATTAATAAAGAGTTAATAAATGACATTGGCCTGCAGCAGTCGTGGTAGCCATGATTTCTTTTATCATTCACAACAGTACTGTTAACAAGCTTTCATTTGTAAGGCTGGCTTCTTGATGGAATTTTTTTGTACTGTTCTTAAGAAGTGTTTTATAAATTGGGCTTTCCTCAAGCTGCCAGGGTGTGGCAGTCAAATCAACTGGAAAAATTCTTGAACTTATCAACAAAAATCATTAATCATGTTTTTTTTTTCTTTTGTTCACTCATTTACTCCCTGAGTGATTGATATGTGACTTCTCTTTACAATTGTGACAGGTGAGAATTTCCAGCAGAAATACAGATATACCACCAAAATTAGTAAATGAAAAGTGTGGTGAGGAGGCATTTTAACAGTGCACATTATAAGTAGTCTGTGAATGGGTTAACTAGGGGGTTCAGTTGTGACGATACATCAACAGGAGAGAAAGTACAGTATCACGACAATAATTTGCTTTGATGAGCATCTCTGAGGTGTGTGCTCTAATCCATTCAAAATGCACGTGTATGTACCCTGTCACAGGAGGTGTTCTTGACTCTGTACATATGTGTAGCTCATAACAGTTTCCTCAGCTTTTTATGGGTGATTTATATAAATAATGAAGTGATTGAAAAGACTGGTGTTGAGGTAGACACCATTTAAAAAGTTACAGGAAAAGCTTTTGACCCCTCTCTTTATTGTGTGCCAAGGGATTACAACATTGTGACAGGTGGGCCGTTTTACACCTCTAGAAAACCAGTGAAAATTATTTTTGGAAAAAAAGTGCTTTTTAAGGCATTGTAAATGAATGGTGGGTAAGTTTAGTTGAATTCAATTAGTGTCATATTTTATAAAGATATTGAAAATTTATCTTTCTCTGTATATGGATCAGAGTGAGGTTATTGATGACGACGTGAATGATGGTCGAATCAGCGATGTATTGCGTAGCTAAGTTAACCTAAATAATTGCTAATACGGTGTAGGTGGTTTTAAAAGAATTTCAGTGCGAATTTGAAAATAGTGGTACAACTTTCAGGAAAGGGTAATGATTCTAGTAGCAAGACTAAGGGCGGATCCGGATCAATAACAGTGGAGTGCGCATGAAGCTGACGCGTAAGATCAGTTTTTTTTTTTTGTTTTTTTTTTAGTGCGTGAGCGGGCGGCATTCTACAAATCCTACAATCTGAATGGTATTGCGAGTGGACAGCATTCTTCCATCCGGTTCGCTCACAGCGGGCGGTATTCAATCCGTTGCGTGTTGAGTCGCCTAGTGCGCCTAATGCGCCTAGTAGCTTTTACAAGCTAATGTTTCGGTCACGACAATTATCCGATAAATGATTAATGATTAATTAAGGCAGGCGGCCTAGAAACCGTTTGTAATTTAATAATCCTTCACAAAAAGCAACTTAAAAAGTGAAAACGTGAGGTATTTGTTCACAATTACAGTCAATCAAACTTGGTTTGATGCTACTCTGGTTTAAATATTTGACGAACGTAACCGAGAAGTTACAATTCATTGACCCAACCTTTCGATACTGGTGTCTAGTGCCTTCATCATCGATTGACAGTGACAGTGATCTAATCGCTGCGACAAAAGGTCCTTATATATGCTCAAATCAATCAAATTTACTCTCCAGATCTGAAATCGCCAAAATAGTTTGTTCGTTTTAAAACGCCAAGCGATGTTTTGAGTTCTAAGATCTAATACAATACACTTTCGTTAAGTCTTTCCAAGTCCGTTAAACAGTTGAATGTTGGACATTTCCACTGTAAGTTGCACAACAGAAACCGAGTGAATTCCATGGCATGAGTAAATGCAGCATTAAATCCACTTGTATCTGAATAAAGTGCCTCATGTGACTTCAGTTTTTTGGGGAAAGAAAGACAAGATTTGCACACGCCATTGCAGCAAACAAACGAACAGACTCTCACAACTTCAAAATATACATTTAAATTTGCTTACACTTACTTTCTGAGTCACTAGTACTTAAAACTGAACAGGCGTAAATCTACGTGGATTAGCCGCCGATGGAAGTGATTATTACTTTCCTCATGATTACTGATTGTTTTTGTAGAAAAACGTCGTGGTAGTCACATTTCAAAGATTGCTTGGAAGCCTGTTAAATTTAACCTTTATCTTTACGCAAACAAAACTTTATCGGTGAAGCGTCTCTCTTTCCTCTGTTCTCTATGCTATCTACGAGCTAAAACAATTTTCGGTTCATGAAGGATCCTGCCGTAATTACAGCCCTGAATCATTTGGGCTCTTTTAAGAAGCATTTCGTTATGTGTTTGAAATAAAAAAAAAGCTTTGTCTTGTGAAAGAGAAATTCTGGTTACGCCGGAGTTTTCCAACGAATTAAACTAAACCAATTACCGAATCATTTAATGATTAATGCGCCCGCAATCAAATGAACTGCTCGTAGCATAGAAGGCAGCTATTACACAAATTCAAACTGCAGTACTCGTAATATGGTCGCGTGCTGAAGAAGTGAGAATACGTCGCAAGGTTTTCGATGCATATCTTTTCACACACCGTGTTTTGCATCAACGTCGTCAATTTGCTTTAAAGCATAAACATGGGTGAGAAACTGTGACAAGATTTTTATGTCGTAACTGAGCTCTGATAATGGATGCTCCTGGGGGCTAAAAAAACTGCAATCCTAAGATAGGGTGGCCAAAAGTCTTGTTTAACTTGTACCTACCTGGTTGCCTGGTCTCTGCCTTCCCTACCCACCCTCGATACACGGTTGAGTTTGATTTTGAGGCCAGCCTCTAGTCCTCGTTTGGCTGGGGTTTGTGTTTTTTTTTCTTGCTCGCCGTGAACTTTGTTTTCTCCACCGGTTGTATATATTTCATTTGCAAATAATTAAAGGAATTCTGCGTGAGACTGTTTCAGTCCCTCCCTTTAATCGCATGAATGTTACAGCAGTTAATAAAGATTTACGTCAATTATTGCTTACAGGTTGTAGAGGTATTTAGTCCTGTTGAAAACTCCCGGAGGTAAATTCTTTAACTGGTTATTAGACAAGTCCCTGTCAACAAGACATCATTACATCAGATAGTTAGATTTGTGGTGGTAGAGAATACTCTTACCGGGAAGAAGTCTTGTTTTATTATATATTGCATTTTACGCACCCCCCTCGAATAAAGTCCTGTCTCCAGTTCCCTTCCCAACCCCCTCCCCTCCCCCCTTACCGGCCCCAACTCCCCACCCCACCCCTGTTTCTTTGCTACTTTATCAATAACTATAAAGCTTGAACTGAAGCGGAATCAGTACAAATTAGTAGTTTCTGAGTACTATAAATGCCTTGATAAAGTGCTCTCCTTCCAATTAGCACCGCTCCTTTCAGCTGAAACTTTGATTAGGCGCCCGGGCGATTGATCGAGGAAATGTGGTGCATAAAATTGGTTGTTAAGGTTTTAACAACCAATTTTATGCAAAAGGTTTTTTTAATTAAAAATCAAGTGGAACTCGTGATGCAACTGGTCAAGATAAAATTCTGTGATTGAAATATTACATTTGCAAATGGTCCAAGACTTCTCTGAATTTGTGGAACTACACAGATTCTTATGTTATTGTGCAGGATGTGGACCAGCCGGCTTTCGCTTATCTCCCTTCCCCTTCTCCCCTTCCAATACTGTCATCTTCAATTTTAGGATCCACCTCCTCCGTTATATTAGAAATTTTATTTCCGCCACTTTCGATATTGCGATTACAAACCCATCGATGTAGCTTTTGTTTTCTACAATACATGCTTACCAAAGATTAAATAATGAATTCTTAGACAAACTGAGACTTTTCAGACTTTGATCTGTTGATCTGTGTTCATTCTCTGGTACGTGGGTTATTATGTTAATCTTTAGATAAATATACCCAACGTGCAAAACTGATTCTTATTGGTCCTAGCGAGTTCAGTATATCACCAGAGCGCGACATATCCACTCAGTCTGCGTCGCAAAGAATTTTGTCATCTGGGAAGAAAATGTTCTGTTTTTCCTCTATTGGGCTCACAGAAATAACCAACGAACTTATCATGGCATTTTTCGACAAAAGTGTATAATTCCAGCGGCATGAGGTTGATCGTTATAAAACTAAATCCAATCTCATTTGTTTAATTTCAATTTCCTTAACGCGACAAAGTGACTACAAAACAACAAGCAGCATGAGATGTTGGTACAAAAACTGTCCCTTAGTTAATTTGGTGAGAGAAATAGGACAAAGAGAAAAATCTCCAAACTCTTAAAAGAAAACTGCGGTAGTACTAATTTGATAATTTGAACTACCTGCTAACTCGGAACCGAGTATTCAGATCGTCACAAATGCCAGATCATGTGGCCACGGCCACTCGAGCAGGTTATATGAGGGAAATTGTCGTCATTTTTCTGGGACATTTTATGGCATTTCAGAAATGCACCAATGTTTGGCACCAGCGGTTTTTCCCAGAAATAGTTAGCAGACGAGTTTCCAAAAAAATTTTAACCTGTCATTCGGATTTATTCCACAGAAATAAAAGTCACAACCATTCACCAAAGTTCCTTGGTCACATGAAACGAAACACTCGGCGTATTCCTTAACCTTGCAATAAGAAGTCGCAATGGAGTTTACATCGACAGTCAAACGGCAGGAACTAAAACCCTTCAATGAAAACAGCACATCATTAACTGTCAAACGATTTCAAGGTGTTTCAGATATCACTATTTCTACTGCTCGTCATGAACAGTCCTGGATCTCAAGTAATCTTTGGATTTGCGGACTGGAAAGCCACTCTTTATGTCCTACTATACTCACTATAAAGTAATTCTCGTGTTTGTTATCCTTCAAATATTTTCAACGCGCTGGAAAAATGTTAACGAACAGCATATCGTTTGCTACCTGGGATGTTTACTTTTCAGTATTCTCTGGTACGTCTTCAGAAACGTCACCGAACACAGTGAGACTTTATCTGAGCTTGTGACGCGTTCCGAGATTGATTTCAAGTTCTCGGTCAATTCCGACCTCATGATACT